ATTTTTCTCTGTAATGTTAATGTATTACACTTGCTGCTACAAGTTTTTAAGCTTAGCACCAGTATTCAGAAATAAGATTAAAAAACTTTTCATAGTTTGCTAGTTAGTTCAGTTGCTTTGATCTTTCTTTTAAGAAAGAGAAGGTTTTTTTTACGATGGTTCGCAACAGCAGAGGTTATATCAAACCCTCGGGGTGCCGGTGTTTTTGAAAGAAAAACCATTCGAATCCAGCGGCCCTGCATTCGAACCCGGAACTTTTACCTTACTGTGATGAGCGCCTTTACCTTAGCGCGTCAACTCCTAAACCGTTGGGGCCACCGACGCCCCAAGAGAAGGTTGTTATTGCTGCAATTCTTTTCCACGGATTGGTATCCTAGCAAGTCTTGAAAGAAGGGATTGCTTCTTCTTCTTCAATTGGTTCTAGCTCCTTGTTTCGACCTAATCACAGCAAAAATCCTTCGACACCTACCTAAAAGAGCTGTAGTTTTCCTAACCTACATTTACAATTTTGCACTTAGTACCACACACGTCCCACACTATGCCTATAATTGGCACACGTCTAGAAAAACTCCTGCACTAGCACATTCTCACCATCCTTCATTCCCGCAACCGGCAGTTTGGGTTCAGACGTACTTGTCAAGTCCTCTTGCTGTTTATTTCTGTATTTTAGTGTTCCAAGTAGAAAATGACAATAAGCGCACAACATGTACACTTTTACTTTACGATAACCTTGACGTGATTGACATGTACTTGCCTTAAAAGAAACAACTCAATATACACTTGAGACTTCTTAAAATACCGAACAAATGTTTGTCATACAGCAAGAAACTTAGGAGGTCAACAGTTCAACATTAACTGGTAGTTTCTCCTCTTATTTTTGTCACTGTGACCTCCTTTAATATTTTCTATGGAACAAGCGTTAATATTTAGCACATACTTCCGCTTGAAAGTCCTAGGTGCGTTTCCCAAATGAGTTTGATGATCGTACACAATGTACCTGACTTCCTTCATTGGATTTCGAGCCACCTGATTTTCGTCTGACTTCTTCTATGACTGTGTAATTTGTTAAAACTTGGTGACTTGTTTTTATTACCTTATTCTTGAATCCTGTTTAATAGAATTCTGCTTCAGAGTAAGATGCTACAACTCAGATTTTGCAGGCCGATGCCCACAATGGAGTATTGGTATTGATCTTATCCTTTATACAATTTATACCGCAGACTTTCCTATACATCCCAATTGGTTGTATTGCGATTTTGTCAGGATTGCAAATATCTCAAACGTATTTTACCCTATTTAGAGTCGGAGGGAACTGTTAATTGGAAGAAAATCAGGAACCGGTCGACTGAATGAGACAATATTCAGTTATGCCGCGCTTTCTTTCGGAGATATATTTTCTCCTTCCTCGGGGCCTATATTTGTGTTAACATTAATATCAGGTATTACATTTTTAAATTATCACAATATTATAACAAAATTACTTACTTAGTAACTCATCTACTTGAAGTGGCACAAGCGTTTAACCGCATTTGGCATATGAATGTCCTGTAGCGTGTCCTACCTTACCCTACCTTCCTTTCTACCCTCTACTTAATCCTCCGCTCTTATCGAATAGAGCTGTTCTTTCGGGTCTGAAAAGTCTCCGAATACTGCTCTCTGGCAGAGGAGTATCGAAGGGAAGTGTGCAAGAATCAATCCTACATATCCTTTGTACTACAGATGTTCCAATACTCCTTGCACCTTTTGCCGATGATACAGCTGTACTATCCGCTAACCCCGATCCTGCGGTTGCTTCGTAAGTTCTGGAGGAACATATCACATGTATAGCAGATTGATGTAGTCAATGGAAAATGAAGATAAATGAAAGCAAGTGCATTTACACTCTGAAGCAAATCTCTTTGCACGATATACTACAACAATGTTCCTACCCCCAAATCCAACTACGTTCGTTACCATAGGTTCAGACTAGACTCACGCTTAACACGGAATCAGCACACACGACCGACACTACAAGACATCCCATAAGACTTCTCTCTGAGGAGTAGGCTGTGAAGTTTATTCAGTGAAGTGGGAGAATAATATTGATTATTTGTTCCCCACAATGTAAATATGTAAATAGCTGTAAATACATCCATGTTCATCAAATTACACATTGTAACCAAGAATTGCAAACTGTAATAAAATATTAAAATAGAAAAAAAAACTTTTATCTCATAATAATTCGACACGCAGATTTGATCGTGATCTCTTTTCCACTTGAGTGAAAAGCTGAGTTTTGTGACAGTTACTTAAATATATGATAGATGATAGATACTGAAATATATCTATATTAATAGATTAGTCTCAAGTGAACAATAATAAGAAAATTCCGAAAATTGGAAAAAAAAAGACATCAGGATAACAGGTAAGCACATCTGATATAATACAACACTATTATAATAAAGATAGATGTTTACCATGAAAAATAAGACAATCATTAGCACATAACACAACTTTCCAATTTGAATAATACCACCAGTGATTTCCAAACAAACTAGATTTAAAAAATACCACAAAGTTTGGTTTTTAAGAAAATGTATAATTAGGTATGCCCTTATGTTTAAGCCTAGAGATTGTCAAACTTCACGAAAATTTTGATTATTTAATAAGCTATCAAACGGTACAAGAATAAACATCGATGAAGATTATCAACCAGTTAATTCAATGCTCTCAGTTATCGTATTTTTGGTCAAGATAAACAGCAAGGTTTGTTTTATTACCAAGCCAAATTAGGTGCCTTCTTACATAATATCCAACGCACTAATGCAAAATTTCCCACTGTTGGATGGTTTTTTAAAAATATCAGAACTATATAAATCGGTATAAATAAATAAATACATGCATTGTCTAGACCACAATCTATTTTCTGAAAATATTATTTTTTGTAAATAAATTTGAATAAATTGTACTAATATTATTGTAATCAGTTTTCAAATTGAAAGCGGTGGGATCATTTTGTACATGTATAGATTCTTTGAGTAATATACGCCCTAGAAATTTTTCATGGTCTAAAATTTTTATGTCGTCAATATTTAACTGAAAGTTGTGTTTATGTTCAATTGAATGTTTCGACAGTTCCCGCTCTACTATGGTTTTTGCGATCTTATGTATGGGCTTTAATGTGTTCGACCAAATATTTTTGGTCTAACCATAGACCAACCATTTTTTGTCATAGTAGCACCTTGAGAAAGACTAAATGTAATCCTAACCCATCACGGACTGACGATAGGTATGGGGACCGTTCGTTGGAAGTTGTTTCATACAGGGTGTACTATCATCACTCAAAAAATTTTTTGCACTATTACCACAAAAAAAAAAAAATACGCACTATCTCTGAACACACTGTACATCTACCCAGTGTTGGCTTTTTAGGTGTTTTTAAAACTTTAAAATTTGTTAGTGGTTCAACTTGTGATATTAGAATTTTAAGAATTTTATGTAAGTTTATTCAGCATAAAGAACTTTGTACTTAACACCTGGGACTAATTTATTAATATATTGAAGTATTTGACCCAAAACTCAGATTTTGACTCCAGTGGAAAAGAGATAAAATCTACATTTCTAATTATTATAATAGTAGATAAGAATTATTAAATAAGTAATTTGGCTGTAGCATTGTTATAATTTAAAAATGTAATACCTGATATTAATGTTTACACAAATATAGGCCTTGAGGAAAGAGTAAATACATCTCCGAAAGGAAGCTCGGCAAAAGTGACTATTGTCTCATTCAGTTCAACAGTACCCGATTTTCTTCCAATCTTTAATCTGTGGCCGATCCTATACTCAACAGTCTCTGTTATTGGCTTTTTGGAAGATTTTTATTTCTTTAAGGAAGTAAAGAATTCTTCTTAGGGGTATAGTATCTAGGATTAAATTGCACATGGGTTTTCCTAGGTACCATTTTCTTTTCCTACGTATTGCTGGACAGTTGCATAGGATATGTCCTGTTGTCTCCGCCTCCTCTAGGCATTAAAGTGGTATTTTACTGGATCATGTCCTGTAAGTATATGCACCCGTTAGGTTTTCGAATTCCTTTGTTTTCATGCTATTTCTCTCATTGGGTTGTTTTGGTGAGTAGCCTTTTTGCTTGCCTTATATTTTGTTTTTCCTCTTATTTGTTGTGTACTTTAGTTACCCAAGACTCCATTTCTTTTTTAAATTGTTTACAATTTATTCCACAGAATAGATTTGGGACGGTTTTGTTCCGTCGCACCGCAAGGTAAAAACCTTGTATATTTGTTGTCTTAAATTCCTTCATGACCTGTGACCCACCTAAGCGTTAGGCTATTTGTGGATCCTAGTATTTTATGGTCTTCAGGAAGTTCCAGTTCCACGAGTTTTATGTTGATCTCTTAGGCTTGAATAGCCTTTGGAGCTGCCTTCTGTTTGACGGTATTACTATTGCACCCTTGAGATATTTGCATTTATTTCATGTGTACATTTGTCTATGGCTATTCGGTTTGAAAGATGATTACTGTGGAGCCAAGGGCCAAGTGGTGCTCATAGTTCTTCTTTGTTTGCTATGTCTGTAAAAGTGCCCCGCTTTGAACCATCCACCATAGAATAGGCTGTAGGTTTTTTTTTCTTTTACTGTATCTCTCCATTTTATTTTTTCAACAATTATGGTTTTTTCAAAGCCTTTCATTTTTATGTTACATTGACTGACATTTTGTTTTTGTTGCTTTGCTTCGGATAAGTTACATATGTCAGGGTGTTGATTTAACAACAATTATGCTAATTCATGTCATTCTTTGAACTTTTTGTATTAGTCTTTTCAGTCTTTCTTTGCCCTATTTTGGCCATCATATGTAACTTGCATCTAGGCCCGACAATTGTAAGTTATAAAAAAAAGGTCATTTTCGGATTTAACCCTCAAGCTGTATCACAGGGTCTTTGGCTTATCGTACGGTTGTGAATCATTGAAATCAGAATTTATTAAGAACAACTATTTTTTTCAGAGCAATGAGAAGTACCCAGCCGATGATTTTCGTCGCAATCGTCGAACCAAGGTAACTATCTCGTGTTAATTTTTGCATGCAAGCTTACTTATCACACGCTGGGATGTTTGCATATAGAACTTTATTTTTTACTTTCTCCTTCTTTTTTTTTAGCCAAATCGAAAAAGCAGACACAGTTGATATGGCCGTAAGATTAGGCTACGATAAGGTAAGTTGTTTGAGAAAAAAATCACTTTTCAATTATTAAAAGCTCATTAAGTCCTTAAATATAACTGAAAAATTAATATTACGTATAATTGATTGTTTAATGACATAATAACAGGTTGTACGGCTATAGAGAGGTTAAAGGTTGCCATCATCCGATACTATTTTCTAAAAAACTATTTAGTCAATTACGATCAATATTTTTTTTCATTTCTTAATACACTAAGAATTTGTGGCTACGGTTTTGGAAAAATATCGATTCGTTAGTTTTTGGCAAAAAGCGAAAGTTGTGTCACAATTGTACACCTTTTTTTACACAAAAATGTATTACTCAGCTCATGGGTGTATTTTTTAAAATGTTCATCGCTGTGATTGTTTGCATATTATTGCGCTAAAGGAACAAAAAGAATAATTTCGATATGATAAACAGCTTTGGAGAACTTTTCAGGAGAAGCAATTTTTTGATCAAGCTCGAATTTCTTTCCTTTTAGGTGATTTCTAAAAACAATTGCGTTACGATTGTTTGCCTATTATTGTTCTATAAAATAAAAACTTATTATTTCAATATGATGAAGAGATTGAAGTTCGAGTTTTGGGCTTTTGGGTTTTCCGGTACTTTCTAAATTCAATTCCTCGTTCCGATTGTTTGCCCATACAATAAAAGAAGATCATTTTCACATGATGAAGTGGTTGGGAGAAAAGTGTACAGAAATGGGAAAAAATACACCTTTTCAAGAAATTTTCTGATCATCATTTCTCAGTTACAACAACAACAAATGACCAACAGACTTGGCTGTTGGTTTTAGTCCCGTCCGTGAAAATATGAATATCAACATTGGAGGTTACATAATTTTTGTTAACAATATCCATAAATACTGCAGAATGCGTCCATTTATCGACTGGAAAATTTTTGTCTACTTCAAGGTTAGGCCCCACTTGTGAGGTCGACGGCTTTACTGATTTAATTTGGTCTACTACTTGTTGAATACATATGTCGATAGACAGAAAGCCTCTAATATGCCTACAGTTTCGAATGAAATTGTCCTGAAACCCTTTATTACCTTTCGTGCAATTTTATGTTGTGCCGCGTAGGTGAGGATTGAAAGAATCGCTCCTTTGTAACTAATTTCGAAAGCGTTACTCCCCAGACTCCAATTCACCTTGGCTGGTCTCCTAAGTAGATTATTTAGCTGCGAAACTTTTTCGCATATGTAGTCTAGTTGACTATTCCAAGTAAGTTTTTTGTTTATCCGAACTCCCAAGTATTTCATCTCATGCACTACTTTTAGGCGGATACCACATAGATACGCCATAATTGGGTCTACATTTCTCAGTTTGGTAACATATAAGAATTGGGATTTTTCTGGATGAAATTTGATCTTATTTCGGTGTGTCCATTTCTCTATTTGGTGTAATGTCTCGTTTGCTATAAGTCAATCATTGGACATTTATGGGCAATAGTAATAAGAATGTCATCGGTAAAAGCGAAGATCTGCGCTCCTTCTGGATGTTCTAGGTTTAAAATGAGTCGTAATGATTGTCCAGAATCGTGGGCCAGAACATCATCCCTGAGGACATACTTTTTCAGCTTGTCTGTTGACGGACCAAAAGCCTATTTTTAGTGTAGCTGATCGGTTTGCGAAGTAACTACTTGACAAGGAGTATAGATTACTGGAGCATTCTTTCTTTTTAAGTTGAGCAAGAATAGCAGGCCAACATGCAGCATCCTCCTTTGACATCCAGTAAGATGATAATAATACCGTTTTTGGAACGCAGGTGAGATTCTAGGGTGTCTTTTACATCTATTAGGGCATCAACTGTACTCTTTGGGGCATAAAGCCATACTGTCAGTCAGATAACTTTACTCTTTCCAAATCGAAACATTATTTTATCGATCATTGATTTTTCAAGAATCTTTCCCCGGAGAAAGGTCGTTTATTTTGTTCTCTTCTTTCACAAAGGCTATTTGAAACATAAAATTTACTTGTTGTACGATAACTTTTGTTAGCCCGTCATCTCCAGGCATTTTCTCTCTGAATCCAGTGATAGTATTTGAAATTTCTTTTTTAATGGATGGTAAATATTTTTTTAATGGGATTTTCAGCAATTTCTTCTTGGATTTCTGTGTGACTAATATTGTATGGATTATACTGGTAAGCATTTTTCAGAATTTCCGAGAGAGTTTCTTCAATACTATTCGTGTAGGTCCCGACTTCCTTTAGAATTGATGTTAGTTTTAGGGTTTCTTTCGTTTTCCCTGCTGTGGCTTTGTACGCAATGTTCCACGGTGAGGACTTGTCGGTTACGGTGCTCATATTTCTTCATGAGTTCTTTTTACTTTCAAGAATTGTCTTTTCGCTTTGTTCTCTCTTTTGCGGATTTCTCTCTGGTTTTGATCTTGCGTAGTTCTTTGATATTTTATTCTCAGTCGCCTGTAGTATTTACGAGCTGCCGATATATCGGGGTCCACCACGAAATACTGCGCTTATATAGTGGTATCGAGGAATTACACGTCTGTGTGATGAAGCCCGTGAATATTTTGGTTAGGTTGTTGAATTCAGTTCTATTTTTGCCACGTATACATCAAGCGGTTGTCGATGATTTCTGTTTTGTTACTTCATTATTAAATTGTAGTATTACTTGTTTTCTTTCAAAAGTGCTTTCTTAACTATTTATCGGTATCCTTGTTCACATTTTGATGGGGTGTATTTTTACATTTTTTAATGGTGTTGGGGGGGTTATACACAAGTGACGACTGGAAAACGAGGGTGATGGTACTTCGTCGGTAGATAAAGGATTAAAATGTACATAAAAATCATTTTATTCAAGATTTCTTCAACCTAAAATCAGATTAAGTATTATTATAAAATAAAACGTAAATATTGCTTAAAAAGGACTTAAAACGGATTAGTTGACACCCTTGAGAAGTGGTACCGCTCCAGTTTTCTTTAATAACATTTCATGTGGTACATTCAAAAGCTGTAGATCCTAGAAGCTATAAAATGACTACTTGCTTTCTTCGAAATATAATTGCCCTTTCATTATAAGAATGCATATTAGTTGAAAATATTTTTTTTCTAGAAGTAAACATAGCAGTAAAACAGTATTTTTTATAAATAAAATATAAAATAAAATAATAAAAAAAAAAATAAAGTAGAAACAAGCGATTCGAACGACGAACAGGTTACCACCCCACAGTACTCAAAACGGAATCACAACAAAATGTAAAGTATCGAAGAAAATACTGACGAGCATTTTTTTTAAATCAAGCTTTTCGGGGATTTCACCAAAGTTGCCTTATTTTGCAAATATTCCAAAGACACACTCACTTTTACATTTTTTAGAACTTAATGATCTTAGTGAAATTTCCTTTGTAAGGTTGAAAAACGTGATATCGAACCCAAGGAGAGCAGCATACCAAGAACAACGTACATGTCATATCTTTTATAGCTTTGGAGTGCTTAAATGATCAGATATAAATCAGATGGATTTGTTAGGGCTCAAATGACACTTGCTCATTTCCACCACCCTAAAGCTTCTAGGATTAGACTACTCTACCTTTCATGGAAACAAGGAGGCAGACAGAGACTTTGCAATGTCGAACAGCTGTGTAAACAGGGGGAGAATTCGTGAAACTGTATTTTCAGCAATTACATACTCCTGTGATAAATAAAATTAAATGTCGAGATAAAGATTATACAGACTTTGAGTCGCAGAAACAAATATTGTATCGTCTGTGAAAGTGATAAAGAATGGATGGGCTCAGAAGCAATTCCGCGGCAGATTTTACGCAAATCTTTAAGCAAATGATATTGATTTACCCGCGTCATATAAGTAGCTTATCAAATGCTATTTATACCCGAAACGGAAGGATTCATCTTCGCGGTTCTGGATCAGGTTGTCGCTACTAACGCTTATAAGAAGTTAAAAAGTATATAGTTATAGGTGTCACAACTCAGAGATCTCGCGACACGTGAACCGTGGAAGCGGGGGCGTGGCCAGCCTTTTCAGCGGGGAAAGAGACTCCGCCAGATTACGTCCTTTAGCGCCAGGCGTGCTAAGGACGTTGTTAAGGACAGACCTGTGGCGGAGGGGACCCCCAATTAAGTGTAGGGTAATTAAAATAACCCAAAAAGCCATCCTTTAGATAAAATTTTTCTCCCCCTCTATTTATATGTTTTTTTTGTTAACAATACAGAAGTACCTTTATTTTTAATAATTTAACCTTATTCCCGTAATCCCCTTTTTTAGTGCACCGAACCTCCTTTTCCACCGTCTCTCCCACAAAGGGACGAGGAGGTCGTGGCAATCCTCGATCCATTTTTCCCGGATGAAATAATTTCTTTTTACTTTTATCCATTATTCCTAATAAGTCGTATTTTCAGTTTTATGTGTTTATAAGAAATTATTTTATGTTACTAAAAGTTGTTCAAAATAATATTTCCTTAATTTTTGCGTAAATTTTAAATTTCGGAGAAAGCTGTAGACGAGAAAAGTCGCCGGTTACAACAACTCATTCATGCCGATTTATCTTCGCGGACATTGAACTCTACAAATACACGCATTAGACCTGGATTATTCATCGCTTAATATATANATATATAAAGTTATATCCGAAACGGCTGCTTCTGTCATCATAATAGATCCTGCAGACTCAGCAACTAGGCTAATACTCTTATATATCGAGGAAAACACCTGAAACAAGAGTCTAGATCCTCTGGGCAACCAAACATCTTGGCAAACGTTGATTTAAATTTCCACGTCACTCAGATGTCAGCCACCACCATACTCAGCCCCGGTTTGGGTCGTCCCAAAAAAAAACTGAAGCCTCTGGACGGAAAAAGTGGCGCTTAGTCATCGATTACCGCAAGTTCAACGAAAAAATTGTCGAAGACAAATATTCGATACCAAACATAACAGACCTAAGTTAGGCCGATGTAATTATTTTACGACAATTGACCTTGCATCAGGTTTTCATCAAATCGAAATGGACGAAAACTATCG